TGCTAACAGCCTCTTAACAGGTGTGGACTCTAGAATCATGTAATCCTATCAAGTTACCCAGCAAAAAAAAAAAGAAAAAGAAAGAAAGAAATCCGGCAAACTGCATACTCCTGAACTCCTCTCCCCCTCTCCTTCCCCCTCTCTTTCTGTTGTGACAGAAATGAACAGCTGGGCTTCAGATTTATCATGTACAGACAGTAATTATTGCTGGTGCTGCTTGCTACTGACCCAAGTGAATAGAATGTCACATGAAAACACACACACGCGCGCGCGCAGCAGAAGGGGAGCTGGATTCGAGGGGTGCCGGGTTGGGGACCGTGCGGAAGATGCGTCGGTGACACAAAAGACAGAGCAGGGCAGTGTTTAAACGTCACTACGCTCCTGTTTGCAGTCAATTATGGTTGAGGACAGGAGTATTGGCTGTGTAACCCGGCAGAGCAAACATTTTGTTGCTCGCAGTGAAGGTGACGGGGAAAAAAAAAAGGTTCAATGTTTGTTCCTGTTTTGTTTGTTTTTTTCTTTTCTTTTCCTCCAATCAAAAATAAAATCAGAGATATCCCGGCAGGCCCAGAATTCCTGTCAGAGAAAGGTGACAGAAAACTGAAACTGAGAGAACTGAGAGATAAACTCAACACTAAAAAGCAGCAGCAAGGTGTGAAGACCAATTTGTTTCAGCACCTACTATTCTCTATGCTTTGCTTTTCCGTACATGTATGACTGACTAAACTTGCCAACAATTGTGCTCAGTGGTAAATATATATATATATGTAAAGGAAAACAATTGATACTGGCCTATGCAAAGTATTTCTTTTACTATCTCAAACCAGTCTGACCCCACCTGCTGTATGTATACCAGAGATAAGAGGGTGAGGAGATAGACAATTAATCTATTACCCATGTCAATCACTGTCCTTGTCATTAGATAGTTAACCCCACGTTTGCTGACTGCTTTCACACACATTCAGCTGGAAGTTGCGGTCCGCCACATTCCATGCCCACTAACCTACGTACGGCCTGCTTCACACCTTAAAGACCCCCTGCCACATTTAAAGGGATTAGTCACCACATTTTGTGCCGGCTTAATCTCTCTTTCAGCTGGCCTAATAAGTGCGCCCCGATAAGCGAAGCATGCAAATTCATTCATGGCCAGTGGAGACCATGCTTTCAGACAAATGCGCCAAAGTCTTGCACTCTGCTAATTACCTCTTCATTTTCCCCGTTTTCCCCTCTTATATAGCATATCAACAAGCAGAGATTATTCTACTCCCTCGCTTTGCATGAAATTATAATTTCATATGTAAGATTAGGGGGGGGAAAAAGTTACTGGATGCATCTCTCCTGACTCTGCTGCGCACCAGAATACATGACACGGCACATTCAGCTGAGAGATAAAAAAAAAAAAAGAAAAAAGATTTATTTTCTCCTGGTTATGATGATAAAAATGTGTGTGAGGGGGGGGAAATATTAAAAACAATTTTTTTTCTTTTATGTGCTTTTCTAATTTACAGTATAATTTATAAGTGACTGCCTTCCATTTTGAGGGAACATAATTACGAAGGATATTTCAGGATTTCCACTACTCCTATTCTAAGTACAGCAGCTTCACAAACACGCAATATCCGTGACAATAAAAACTTAGCAAGTTATGTTTTAGATAATAAAGGCAATGAAGACCCAAGGTGCAACCTGTTTATCATTCTGGAATATTTCTTCACCAAGTATTAATTAGGCCATTACTCCAGATTGGTGACGGGGAGCTTTGAGGTTTTAATTAGGTGCTGGCCACTGCATGAGTGCACAGGAGTGAAGAAAGGGGGTGGTGATGCCACTTGCCTTACTCCTGGCCCATATCAAGTAGCCCTGAACACTTTGGCTACTGCGGCAAGATGCATAGCAGCCCACGTGCATCTGGAGTTTATTTGATCATTTGATCTCTGATGTTTCCTCTTCCTGTCGGTGAAGGCAAAAAAAAAAAAAAAAAAGGCCAGTTGGTGTGATTTGTGTATTAAAAGATGGGGGTTAAGGTAATTATGGTGTTGGGTGGTTTGTGTCTGGTGACTGGGCACAGGCTCAATCAGGACTCAGCTGTCCCTCTCTTTTTCTTCACCCCCCCACCCTTACACACACACACACACACACACACACGTGCACAGACACCAGCGTGCACGTGCACACACACATACACACACTTCCCTGCCCTTGTCTGCTGTCTGTGTCCCCCCTTCTCTACCCCTGCCACTCTGCTAAAACCAGGGATAACGCACACAGCCTCGCATAACATCAATCAAATACCGAGAGCGGACCATAAAACTACACAAACACTATACGCTGCCATTAACTACTGCATGTGACACTTTGTAAAATAGAGAAAATGAATTTGAAGATCTAAAAAGAATTAAAGGGTAAGGAAAAATAAAAGGGGTTTGTTGTTTTAAAGGTTTTTTTTAAATATACAGTAAAATGCTAAAATAAAATATCTTCATTTTTAACATTGAGAAGAAAACAAAACAGATGCCGTTTAAAAAAAACCCTAAACAACACACATCTATTTCTAAATTCAGTAGCAGAGAGTGAGGTCTCATTACATTCAAATAACATAAGTCAACAATAAGAAAAATCTCACATTTTGGTATAATTTTAAACATTTATTAAATAAATAAATGTGCAGAATGCGAGTGTTTTTCCTCGGTTGACAAGGCGATACTAATCACCTCGTTGCTGAGAAGCACTCTTCCCTGACAAGGCTCCTTAGAATACAAGGATCCCCCAGGAGAAATCGGCACGAAAGAGGTTAAAGACAATGACTCGCGTTTTTTCCCTCCAAACGTCTCCCTGTTAAATTTATTTCAAAACTCTGTTAATCTGCTGTACACAACATTTCCATTAGCATAGCCCGGCCCCCTAATAAAAATTCCAGCTAGTTTAATTAAAAAATGTAAATTTACTGTCATCCAAGGAGCTGCAGAAATAGGAGTGCAACAGCATATTTTATTGCTTAAGACATCAAATTGATTCGGGTTATTGCTAAATTGTGATAAAAGGTTATTGAGGGCCTTCAGACCTGGGCTTGTTTTTTTCTCCCTCATTTCATCCTAGTTTTGTGGAGGGCCGTAAACGATGGAGAGGGCCACAAAGGGTTAATGAGACGACTCAGTGAGGGAGAAGGCAATCAACATTATGACTCATAAGAGGGGAGAAAAACATTTTCCAAGCTGACGAAAAGTTTGAAATTAGGGTGTGTCACAATAACAGTTGAACTTGTTTGTTGTTATTTCAAACGATAATGCAGGACACCTTAAATAACCAGACATAATAACCGAGCTCTCTCCTGTCTGCCTCTCCTGAGTGTTTGTGAAACCCTGTGGTCACAGTGGTCTACTATACAGTCTGTCAGCGTTTTATTTGATAAGGCAAAAAACATCTTTAATTTACATTAATCCTGCGATGCACAAGTCAAAGCCGATGTCGTGCCAAAAGTGTCTGAAGTGCAACGCAGCGCCGTGAAAAAGGAGAAAAGAAAAAAAAAAAGAAGAGGATGAAAATAAAAACAGACATAACTGACAAACATATTAAAGATAACAGCCTTGTGCAAAGCTCGCTCGAAATATGACTTGCGTAGGTTTTATTTTTCAGGGAATATTTTAAAAAAGACAAAAAAAGAATAAATATAATTTCACGGTAACCTTTCTGTAATTTACAACACTGACATCAGTTTAAAAATACCCTACTCAAAAAAAAAAATACCACAACGTCTGCTAAATATTTTCACACCGTGTGAGTTTAAAATAAGGCATTTTAAAAATAGGGTCGATAAGACTGATCAAAGAGGACCGATTAAGTCTAAAAGAACTTGATGTACAGTTACCGAGCAGTAACATGTATATGTGGTAATATATGAAATATACTGAGAGTATTATTACACACACACACACACACACACACACACACACACACAATGAAAGGAAGACACCACTTGGTGTGCAAGCGAATGGAAAACACACGAGAACACACTGCACGCGCAAAACAGAAAGAACTAAATGTGACCATAAAATGTGACTTCTTTTAAATCCCACTAAAAAAACCCCGTCTTATAAGTGGTGAAGAGAGTGACGCTTACACGTATAATCCAGTTACAACACAACAAGTTTATCTTTCTAAAAGTACGCACAGAATCACTGATGTTAACCTGGCAGCTACAGGTTTTTATAAAAAAAAACCCTGCCTCACAAGGTGTGTGTGTGTGTGTGTATAGAAAGGGAAATGAATGAGAATCATCGTATGAAAGCACTCAAACGAATGGATCGTTTGGTTACAGTTTTACCTCACCTCTAATGCTTTTAATTTATCTGTTTAATGCATGAAAATAGCCTGTGCACTGTATGTACACTATTTAGAAGTACCTGGCAAGGTGTTAACACTGCTGCTGTTCCCTTTACATGTGGAAAACATAAGCAACACAACAGTTTGTTTGCTTTGTCCCCTTAGCAACAAACCCTTAGGCCATTCAGGTTACCCTAATGGCATTGCCAGCTCCTGCGTGTGTGCCAAACCAATATCTTTATTTCTAGACTCAAACTGTGACTTATCAAAAAAAGAAAAAAAGTATAGCTGAAAGAAAGAACTAATAAGCAAGAGAAGAAGAAACAAAAACAGGCTGACAGGGAGTTGTGCCGCTCTCTAGAAGAGAGACGTACTCTGTCAAGAGAAAATGAAACTTGCTGTGTGAACTTTCCTCACATGTGTACTGAATGTAACACAGTGTCATGAAGCGTGTGCTGAGGAAACAGGCAATCATATTTGATACTGCAGTCACCTTTGGGCACTGTCAAAGAGCTATAAATAATGGTGTCGCAACACTTGGGTATACGTACGAGCTGGCACATAGTTTAATCATGAACAACTTCCCCTCTCTGTATATTTAGTCAGAGATAAAGGCACACCTTAAACTGTCAGCTAATAAAACACATCTGACAAAGACAGAAAAGAAGAAGAGTACTCACCATATTCAGGGAAGTCGAAGTTAAATCCTCTCAGACATGTAACTTTCATAATATTACTCAACTCTGTTAGAAAGTCATTCGAATGTTGGTTGTTGGAGGGGGGGAATACAGCGGAAAAGTAACTAGATTTAAAAAAAAAAAAAAGAGGCTTCCTTCAATCAAGCACTAAACTCCTTGACATGTAATCTGTCAATAGTTTGTTGCTGAGATAATGCCGGCTGCCACGAGCGGATTTGATTGGCAGCTTAGGGTCTGGCCCCTCCTTCCTGTGGTTTGACGGTGATGGGGGGGTTAGGTGAAAGAATATGGAGCCTCCCCCTTCCCTGCTCTGTCTCTCTCTCTCTGTGGCGCTCTCTCTCTGCCTCTCGTGCGCTGCCTCCCTCTCTTGCTTTTGCTCCCGTACACACACACACACACAGACAAAGCTGTTGGTGATGTTGTCTGAATAGGCTGATAGGAAATTATGGCAGAGGAACCGGAGCAGTTTTTTTTCTCCCTCCCTCAGTGGGCTGGCCTTTCCATCTTTGTGGTCTTCTAGCCTTTCAACTCTCTTGGGTGGAGCCTCCACTGCCTCTATTCAAATGAGCGAAGGGGGGGGCACACAACACTTAAAAAAAAAGAAAAAGAAAAAGGGCTTTCTAGAGAATAAGAGTATACGTTTATTAAAACATATTATACTTTGAGGCTAATTATTTAAATCCAATGCAGTGTGACTACATGTAAAAGCTGCTTTTAAACACATATTTAATTAGCGCTCTATATATAAAGTACAACTACAGTAAGTGGAAGAATATTTCCACAATTTTGTCCTCACTTATTAAATCATAGACTATATGTTTGATGTGTACATAGTCAAAGGGCAGGATAAAGCCAGGCACATTTCTATTTGGTAAATATGCTTGTCCTCATGTCTATCACAGAAGCTTTAAGCTTAGAAAAAGATTTCACAAAATACATTTTCCAGCCCTTTAGCTTAAAGCGAATAACTCTTTCCCTCCCTCAGAATATAGCAATCCTCTCCATTTCAGCCCTGCATGGTATACTTTCTTTGCTTCTCTCTCTGTCTCTCACTCAGAGCGCTCTGGTTCTCCTTCCCTCCCTCTGATAAGCTATCAGTTTTCATTGTAATTTCAGGTGAAATGATAAACGACGGCCGTTACCAGGTGACAATGAATACTTTATAAGACAAACCCTTTATTTGCCTGGCAGTTTCTTCCGCAGCAGCATGCAAAGCGCCTCGGGACCATTTGTACATAATGCCCATATACTGTAAACATGGTGGTGTGTCAAGAATGTGGAATTTACAGAGCGACACAAAATAACAAGAAAGTCTCAACTTTCAAAGGTAACTGGATATTCCTGTTTTCCACGGCAGGTTTACTCTGAATAAAGGTGTTGTATAACTAGCATTTACTGGACACAGAAAAGAGGAAATGAACAACTTTATGGCTTTGGACCATAATACAATAATACATAGGTCGGGCTTCAGTTCCTGAGTGCTGTTAGTCTGAAGCATGTACATAAAACTGGTTTTGGTTGATTCTGAAATTATGATGACTCATCCTGGCTAATAATGGAAAAAAATAAGGCTTTGTCTCCTCCTTCCTAACCACATAAAGGAAAATAGCCTTAAAAGAGTTTCTATCAAAAGGTTCCACCCTCGATTTAACTTTGTACTGTAAATACTACTTTTATTAGCCCGGGATCTAATGAAATCGAATTGTTTTTGTTGTGCACGACCTGACTTGGCGACCGCTCTTTTGTTCTGTTGCTGGATAAAAATCTTTTGTGTCAGTCTCCGTACAAATAAATAAATATATATGTTGTTAATGGATTTGTGGCCCGTGTGAATTGCTAGATTGAAACCTGAAAATATAATAGTTACTAAAAATGATCGCATGCCACTGATGTGGTAGAGATTTTTGAAGTGGTGAGAACATCTGCCTGGCTCTAACGCTGTGATGCTTTTTGTCTCACATAGGTGGAGCATAACAATAAAAACTTCCACAGTATCTCAAAAACTTGATATCAAGGGGGCGAGTGCAGGGTGAATTCTATTCATGTAACAATGTCCACAGGAGGCAGGGTCTGTCGTCCATGCATTACAGCCTTCTGGACCCTCGAGCTGCCATCTTTGGGGGCGAAACCATTACTTTTCAAAAGGAGCTGTGGGGCTTTTCGTTTGATGTGGCGTGAGGGTATTGTATGGTGCATGCGGGAGAATGTTGAGGGCAAGGTGGAGTGTGTATGCGTGTGAGCGTGTGTGCGCGCGCTCCTATGCATGTGACATGGTAGGGGTACATCAGTCAAAGGGCCGCTGGGGCCAGACGTTTGGCTGCCCCTGACCGTGCGCTCCAGGAGGGGCTGGTCTGGTGCAGGGCCCACTCCGAGTCCTCCATTCCCCAGGACAAAAGCTATTGCCCAGTTGAAAGATGTGAATTCAGCGGCTTTTGTGCCCAAAGCCCAGAGACATGCCGAGTGAGAAATCTGACCTTTGCCGAAAGTCAGATTGTGTTTTTGAACCCCTCTTGCTGTCTCTGGCAATTCGGGGGGCAAAAAAGTGACTGAGCGAATAGGCTGGAGTGGGTGTGAGCCGGCGTGGGGTATTGGGGTCTGTCATGACGGGTGGAGTGCACAGGTGGGGGTGTGAGAGACAGAAGGAGCAACAGTCCGGCGTGAACCTCTCCGACTCTGCGTCTTAAAGTTTGAACACAACAAATTAAAAACGGTTTGTTTTTCAGCAGACAATGAAGCAAGTTTATTCCTGATACTCACTGTCATGTTGTTGAAAATTGGCAGGAAATTGAACGTGTAAAAGCTTAATTCTGAAGCAGAGGCTTTTCAACAAGAGTTCACCTCAGTGTTCCTCGAGGTTGTCTATGATGTGGAATATTATTCCCTCTCACGTCTGTTTATATTGCATTATATATTTATTTTTTAAGCGGAGAAGGAGCGGAATATTAAACTTACACGCAGATGCAGCCACAACAGCGATGATCGCAACACACCACATTTTGATGATCATCATTTGCATGACTCATGACGATGATTCCTTCGAAACTCATTTGATTTTCATAATTGCTGTGTAGCTGTATATGCGTTGACATACATACGCTAGGAAAAGCGCAATGAAAATCTCATTAAAGGTACATACTTGAAAGCAATTAACGTGTATAAAGTAGAAGGTATATTTGGGGCGCTGATATTACATGAATCACGATATAGCATGTTGCTTGGCGGCACTGTGTTGAGAGCAGAGATTCGGTAGATAGAATAGGCCTATGTTTTTCAGTCATACATTTTTCTTGACACCGCTTTCATCCCCCGGCCGTAATCATCATATCTCCCCCATTGCTCTCCCGGATGCAGACATCCATAATGCAATCTTCCTAATTTTGATCCCTCGCAATCTGGTTTTAAAAGGGAGGAGAAAAAAAAGGGACATATTTCTGAAGGCTCGCTCGGTAATCATTTTAGACAGATAGCCTTTCCCATCGCAGATGAGCAAATATTTGTAAACCAGCTATCTAATGGAAAATTATAGTGAAATTAGAGTGAAATTCATGACAGTGAAATCCGATTATCTGTAATTCTATTATGCCATCTTAGCCCACACAGCATATTTTTGTAGAGTTTTTTCCATAAATACCTATGCCAGGGGTCTTGCTAATCAAATAAAATTGAAATTCATCTTCCCATTAAATTCAATTAGTTGCAATTTCTAAAGCCTAACAAAGATTTTAATTACTAAATTATAAAATTCTCCCTAGCCAAATTGGGGAGAGAAAAAGTGCATCCCCTGCATCTGAAAAACAAACCCATGAAAGGAAATTGTTGATCAAAAAAGATATCCAGGGGAAAATAACATTAGGGAGAGCACTGGGGCCCTTATTCAGCGAGTCTGGGTGGGGAGTGACGTGTGCCAAACGCTAGGCTCCTGGGCTGGAGGAAATGAACTTAGCTGAGGTTCTCTTTGTCTCTAAATGTCTGCCCTCAGAGTTATTATGCTGTAATTGACTAATTGACACCTTAATTTCATTTATGGGGCTCCTGTGTTCATAAAGCAACCTCTGGGTGGGGCAGTGGTCTTGAGCGGAAGCAAGGAAGTCAACATCCAGGACACCAGGTAGGGCCTTAGGCCTTCGGTTCTGTCCTCGGCAGATGACGATTATGTATTTGATAATGAAATGGTCAGGAAGAACACACTGACTTAGTGGAGGCTTAAAGAGGAGCATCTTACTCGTATGTTTAAATCCCTCTGATGCATGCTGATGTGTTATAATCATGCACGTCCAGCCTTACAATCTGTCACTGCAGACACAAACGACCTCCTTGAGGGTCAAAGGAGTTTATTTTTAGGAAGCGAGGTTCTTAAACTTCACAGGTAAACACAGCTGCATGTTGCATTGTTAGATTTTAAATACAACTTAAGCCAGGAGTTACTCCTGGTAACGTGGAGCGGAGGGGGGAGTGCTAACAGGACAGCTCTGGGGTCTGGGGGTCAGCTAGCAGGTCCATTTCCCAGCCCTCCCCTGCTCCTCACTAGTGGGCCACTAAAATAACAGCTCAGCACCCACTGCAGACTACAAAGCTCCATCTGAAAAGGCACCTGCTGCTGTTATTCACTTTAGCCCTTTTGGCAGCTCACTCTCTCTGTTTAAAGGACACGTAGAAGAGAAAGAGTCACTGGGAAATGATGAATTATTTAAGTATGATGTCTAATTGTTTCAAGGCAGACATCTTGTTTCTGGAAGGTAAAGCTTGGGGGTGGGTGTACACACGAGGGGAGGACTCTTTGCGAAGAGGTCTGTCGACTGTGGATTGCAGACAGTCTCGCACTTGAAGAGGCAGCGTAAATATGACCAAACTGAAACTTTAATCTGCTTTTTCCCCACCCAAGCTGGCTGGGTATTACAGATAATCTTTTTTGTGTGTCATATGGTGGGAGATATAGATGGAGCTAATTTTTTAGAGACAAATCTGATATTTGTCAACTGGTTGAAAAAAACCTGGGGATTTTCTCCTAATCCTCCCTTGGATGTGAAGGCGCGTTAACAGCAAAATGCAGATGGTGTTTTGTGCACGGAGAGTACCCAGCACTCGGCGCGGTGCATACGGAAAGGCGCAGCTAGCCTCGCTAGGGCTCAGCACAACCTGCAGATAGCGAACTCCCCCCCCCCAAACCTCCCCCCACCCACCAGTCAATTAACAAGCCACTTGTGAAAGCAAAGGCATGTTAGTTTATTCCAAAGTGCGAACTTTGCAAAATACATTTCTTGGTTGTTTCTCTTTACTTTTTGTTTCCTTGCTGACATAACATCCTTACTTCTAGGCTGTGTTCATCAAATATTCAGTTGCAACTCAATTCCAATAAGGAAAAGAAAACAAATTATAAATAAAAAGGAGGCATAAATCTTTCAGGATCCTAATTCTAACTTTCCCTTGGAGTGTTTCTGTCTTTATTTTGTCACATTAAGCAGTTTTGCTTTCCGTTCCCACTGCTAGGCGTGGCTCATTTTACACTGGTGGAAAGACTCTTTTATTCTTCTGTTCTCTTGTTTTGGAACACTGCGCATTTTGTGGTGTCACTTCTTTTATGCACAATTATCACTTGTGTAACTTCTGGTTTTGTTTTTATGAGAGATAGAACAATAAAACCTATGTGGCGTTCCTTTTTTGGTCACTGAGGGACTGTTGTAAGTCTGCACTCACCCCGTCAAGTATAGCTCCAGCGTTACTACAACCAACCACCACAGTGATGCAAAGCTGTGCCGACTGCCTTATCTTATCCAGTATTTTGGGAAGATATTTGCTCTGGTCATTTTAGCACCAGAATGCAACATGGCAGAGCACTCTGGATGCATTCTTTAACTGCTTTGTGGCTCCGCATTACATTTGACATTGCATTGATAGTCTTTCAGAGGCCTTTAACACGCATCTTATCTTGCAGCACGACCTAGTGCCAAAGAAACTAAACAACTTAGAAACCTTACCTGAGAGGAACATATGGTGTATGCGCTGAAATCCAGTACACCTCATTATTGTTTAGAGAGGTTTAAGGGTGTGTATTCCTGAACCAGTTTTCTGAATATATAGCTATGAGTAGTAAGGTTGGCGGCCAGGGACACAGCAGAGGAATATTTGGAGGACAACAAATGGTTAAAATATATGCAAAAGGGAAAAACCTCTGACAATCTTAAACTTTAACTAAATACTTACTTTAGGTGAACAGTTTCTTCCATTCAAGTCCCACACAAAAGGTTTGCATCTTCACTTTTCCAAAAAGTAAACTGCTCATTTTTATGAATGTGCTTCACCTTTGGGATTCATGAATATTGGCATCTTTCATATTTAAATTAAGCGAAAGCTTACAAGCTTACAAATAACTGAAATTTGTATTAAGCTGCCCCTTGTTCTTTCATTCATTTAAAGGTGAGACAGGAGCACAAAAGCTTCAAAATTTAAACGCAGCAGGCCAGGAAGTTATATTAACCTGCGCCGTATGTGTTTGTTCCACACAAGATGAAGCTAGTTTTTATTGATTAGTCCGGCTACAGAATAAAAAAGGATGACATTATACGCACTATGAAATTCAGCATTTTTTAACCTTCAGCAATGCTTGTCATTCCCTTGTAAAATAAATATATAAAAACACCAGGAGAAGGGGAGAAGGGTGGAAAAAAATGAAGAAGAAAAAAAATCACTAAAGCTCTTTTGCTGTAATTGGCTGAATAGCAAGGGCAGCAGAAAATTTACAGGCAGACAACAGTGTGAAGGGGACTCGGTCACAATGCAAAACTAAGCCCTCAGCACCAGCGAGGGAGTAAGCAAGCCAGAGAGTCAACTGAGTGTCTAGGTGCCTGTCAAGCATATCTTAACTACCACGAGGCACTTGTCTCTCCCTAGCTTTGGCGTTAAGCTGCAGATCACAGTCCATTTTCTGGACAAGTTAAGTAAATAACCCAAGCAAGCATGCAGAAGACAGTGACAGGGAAAGAGAAATCCCCCAAAGTCACAGTGGTGACACTCTACTAAATCCAATCAAACTGAGGAGAGAGAGGGAGAGACACACACATGGGGAGAGCGAGAGAGAGGGAAGGAGGGAGGAAGATATCCTCTTTGGTGCCTGTGTGTGTCCAACAGCATTGATGCAATAACACCTCATTCAGTGTTTAGCCCTTCTCAAAGGACAGGCAGGGATAACACTTTAAACCCTGTGGCTTTATCTCCTGCAGATTTTCCATAAAATGCCAAGCCAGGGAGCCGGGGCCATGTGACAACCATGTAGGTCAGGGCAGATGGGGGGTAGAGAGTGTGGGAGGTGAAGGGAGAGAGAAAGAGTGGGGGAGGATGGGAGTTTTCTAATGGAACTGTTGAAAATAGCTTGCAGTAACCAGATTAGATCAATTAAGATTCTGTTTGTAGCTGTCGCTGCATACAGCAAAACTGAGGCTTTAAACACGTAAACACAGAGCAACCAAAACACCAAGCAGGAGAAATAATGTCCACATTGTCCACTTTATTGGAGGGGAGTTGATATGTTTTTGTGAATGAGCCAGGTTAAGGTATGTGAATAAGCAGGCCAATTCTTTTTGCAAGGGCAGCTCATAGAAAGGGCTTCCACGCTGGGATAAACTGTGTCTTTGAAATTCTCCACATATCTTCGCCACAAATTAACAAACGGGAGTGCAACAGGTAAGACAGAAATAAGCCACTTTCTTCCATGCGGTAAATGTTTTCTGCGCGAGCGGTTGACCACGTTCTGTGGTCAGGTGTAGTTTTTTTTATTTTAGTTTTTAAATTTGAAAAGTCCTAATTGATTCAGAAAACTTAACAACCTTGTCCTCTTTACAATAGTCAGCAATTAGACAGCTCTGTCTGACCAATGAACTGAAATACATTTCTCAAGTTTTACAATTTGTTATATCTGTGGATAAAGTCTATCTCTGTGCAACGGGCTGGTGATAATGGAAATTAACAGTGATCACTGAGCATAACTAGATCTGTTATGTAACCTCTACACACCACTCAACCCACTTATCACAGCTTCTGCAAAACACCTGGTTTACACTAAGATATGTATTATTTTGCGAACGCCGTGCGGGGCTAAGGATGTGCGATAACAATAGCCTTGGAAGAAACGAGCTCTCGTGCTTATCAAACACACCTGCAGGCAGGTATCCCTGACCTTACAGCCGGTTTGCAAATTCAATACGTTCTACATCTTGACTCAAAATCTTGGTTTCTGTGGAAACATTTTCTGGTGAACAGCCTGATCGTTATCCATGACATTTTCAGAATACAGAGATATGTCAATATTCTGAAGCTCACGGGTTTGTATAATTGA